AGGGAAAGAAATTTTCACACCTAGGAACTCTCCTGATATTCGTATACTTAATTGGCGTCTCATCTTGAGGATGACAGAAGATTAAATTCTTGACCTAAATCAATGTTGAACAGGCAATTCTGTTATATACACCAAAAAGCAAGGATTAACTATAGTTCAGAAACCTTGAGCAAAGCCTTCCCCTTTTTCAATTGATAAATGCAAAAACATACAATATATAATGTTCTACTTATATTGGATAAACGATTTGCATATCAGAAGAAAATGTCTAGATGATTCAATAAAATGAGACCCTCAAAAATGATCCAAATAGAAGTTTCTATGAACTAGAACATATCAAATTGATTAATTACCAAGATAATACCAACAATATTTGCTTCTTTTCCAGAATACACTGGTATACGGCTGTGACCTTTGCTCATTATTAAGCTCATTGTATACCTATAAAGAAGAAAAATGTAGTTTAGTAAAAGTAATGCATAAACATCAAACATAAAGATAAAACCACTAAGGCTTAGTGGTGGGGAGTTGGGTAGTATGTATAAGATCTTATGTATAAGATCTTATGTTCGAATGTTGTTGTCGTCATTGTAATTCCTACTGATCCAAAAAAAAAAAAAAATCAGACATAGACATTCGGAACATACATGTCAAGTTTGGAGTTTATGTCAAGAGAAAATGTTTCACTTATAGGGGTCATAGCATCTTTAGCAGTCTTCAGTGTCAAGTCCAAAGCTCCAGCAATTATTTTAGTTTCATGAAGTGACAACTCTCCACCTTTCCCTGCCTGATAATGAATTTGAGCATATCACAATAAAATGTTACTAAAATTCTTGAATCAATAAAACAAGCTAACCTCATTGGCATGTAAATGGACTAAAGTCTTCAGCTCTTCTCTACCTAAAAGTGCTGTGTGCCCCTTGCCAAAAAGCCAATCCAACAACTACCATAGCAGATTTGCCAACACATAAATCAAACAAAACTAAAATATCAAAATCTAACATTTAGGCTTGGTGTCCCTGGTTTATCCTGCTTATCTGTTCCATTGTGTGACCAACTGAACATGAACCTTTTCAGATACAAGCTAAAAGTGTTTTTGAAGGTTTTTTCTCTACTGAAAAAAAAAAAATCCTTTATTTTTAGTTGAGAAACTTTCGAAAGTTCCTACAAACTTATATCCAAACAAACTTTGTTTTAGCAATATTCCTAAATTTATAATTACAAATTAAAAATCCTCATTGTTCACATCCTAATTTTGATGCCATACCATGAGAAAAGCATGATATCACTAAATTATTGCAAAGTTGCAATAGGTATGAGTCTAGTAATTGAACAAATGTTGCCTGAGATTAGTTCATTGAAGGTTCTAATTGTGTGCCTCTCATTCTAAGATATGGCCAAGTGAGTGAAACAACTTGAGTAACCTCTTATTTCAGTAAAGACAGGATTACCTTACTAAGTGGATATGTAATTGGGAGGAAAATCAGCATCAGAACTCGAACAAATGGAGACAATGTTGCCCCAACACTTAAACCATATCGAGAGCACAAGGCTTGAGGGATAATCTGAGATCAAAGTCTTGGATGAGAAATGAAATAAAGGATATAATTGTATGTATGTAATTAAATATGTTAATACTAAAGTTCACTTTGCTATACCTCTGCTGCAATAGCCAAAATGGTAGCTGCTATTATTACAGCAAGCCACTCTGGGAACATTTTCTCCATAAAAAGAGAAACCCCCTGAATAACACAATTTTATTGTCAGTACTTTTCAATCCTAAGCATGGAAAAATGTGTATCTTAAAAGGACATATCCTTTTACTTAGTAAATGATTAAATCAGTAAAAACACTCTTAAGTCATGCCAAAGATATCTTTGGATTTGGTGTAATATATAGTCACAGATAAACTTCAGGTCTTCATTTAGAATACAGAAATTTACTTTAAATCAGATGAAAGTGCTTGAAATGATCTGTGTAACATACCTCCAGTGCCATTGATTTAGCTATGAGGAGGGTGCATAAAACTAAATGCTCATTCTTTACAATGGACATAATCTTCGCTGCAGATAATAAATTTCTTTTCATCACTTTTCAAGATGAAGCAGTAAACAGTTCGGAGTTTCATACGCCAAACTTTCTCTTCAATTATAGCCTATAGTTATTTAAGTGTAACTTTTTGTGTTTTTTTGTTAGATATTTGCTCACTTTGAAATCATTAGACATCATGAAATTTGATTTTACTAATCTTTTGATAAAAGTTTGTATTGCACTTGCAATGACTAGACTGATAAGTGAAAATAAACATTTTTTCCTCTACTTTTTCCTCAACCTTGTAGTGACCCAATTATGTATATATTTTATTTATGAGGTAATATGATGACTTCATTTGTTTTTTTTTTTTTCTTTTTGGTGTATGTTTTATGAGACCATGTGTAACATTCTCAATAAAATAAAATAAAATGAGACTATATAACTTTCGATTTGTATATGGTTAAAGATCAAAGTTTTTAAAAAAATTGGAGTTAACACTCATTTTACTCTTAGAATTTAGAAGATGTCTTATTAGTTTTTGAAATTAATAAATTGTCAAATAAATTTTTGAAAGTGCAAATTAACATTCATAATAGTCCAAAATTCAAACAAAATGTGTGATTAAAATAATAATGTCAATGTATATTTAAGAATCAAAATGACAATAAATAATTAAATGTAATAACATACTTGAAATTCTAAAGACTTATTTAATAATTTCTTATCTTAAAAACTAATATGATCGTGCCTTCCAAATTTAGAAACAAAAATAAGTGTTTACTCTTTAAAAATATTACTTGAGTAAGAGCCTAATCTTAGCAATAATTTATTGTGTAATCCGTGTAGCTAATCTTACTTAGTGAAATAAGATTTTATTACTTATTATTTTTATTTAATTTTTTTTATAGCATGTTATATCGTACACCTATCCTAATTTTTTACTAAATTAGCATACCCATATATGTGCATGGCTTGCTCAGTGTTCTTTTCTTTTCTTTTCTTGAGTCATATGGTACTCTTAAATGAAGAAGATTTTGCTAAACAAAAAGCAATGAACTATACCTGCATTTTTCTGGATTTGAGGTTGGCCAGCTTTAACAAGAACCTCAAGATCAACTTGGCTGAAGGACAAGAGTCCTAGAGCAAGACCTGATGTGGTAGCAGCAAATAACACAAAAGCACAACACATGCTTAGTAAAACCCAAAAGTGAGTTCCACAACAAGGTGCCCTTTCCTCAAAATATGAACTCATTTTCTCTTTGGATGATGGGGGGCAGTGGTGGAAGAAGCAAAAGAATAAAAAATCAATGACAAGAATTGCAGCATGGCATGTAACAAAGAAGAATATAAGCAAAACCAAAGTTTATAACCCTCTTCAGGATGCCATTGCCTGCATGCTTAAATATAAATGTGGGGTACCCAACCATTAGGATCAAAGGTCTTAAATCATTAATTCCTGACTCCTGGGAGATTTCAAAGAGGCAATGTTGAGCAACCAACAGAACAGAATTAAGTTGAAAGGTGTATACAATTTTTTTAAATTTTGACACACATTTCTAAGGGATATGTTCAATTTATTGTTTTTTTATTATAAATTTGACATATAGAAGTGCTGTCCAATATGATTGAGAAAACTAGACATATATACCCTTCATTGCAACTCCTAGAGATATAAAAAAACAACATATGTACCTTTCAGTTTGCGTTACGTGGACTTCCTTATATCATAATGAATTTAATTTAATAATTTTTAGTAAAAAATTAAGGGTAATGAACATAAATTAAAAATATTTAGTGGAAGTAAAATATCATTACAGTTGGATTAAAATGTCATTTATTTAATACATCAAAAAAGATATTTGCACATTCGCACAAAAAGAAGAAAAAAAAAACACTTTTTGAACTTTCATTTATTTTTTCTCTTTCCTAATTACGAACTTAAATTAATATTTTAGTGTTGAATCAACTACACTTTATCTTCTCGTGAGTATCCTGTAAGACTCTTATTATATTGATTCTTCCTACATTCACCACTAATAGTGAATATTGAATAAGGATATATTTGAGAGAGAAATGTTAATTAGACTTTAAAATTCTAAAAAAAAATCAATTGTTTTGAACTTAAATAGAAGTCTGAAATATCTAAAAATATGAGAAATAGCATAGTTTAATTTCTAAACTTTTTAAAGTATGTATTTTAAATTTTTTTATTTAGGTTTCAAAAAAAATATTTAATTTTCATTATATGGTTTTGTTTTTAAAGTTTCAGAAACAATATAGAACTGTCTTTCAAGAAAAATGTGATGAAAAAAAAAAAGACAAATCGAAACTTATGGTATAGTATAATGATTTGTTGGTTGACTTGAAAAGTGGTCCAATAGTTTATTTAGGTGTCAAAAAAACACAAAAGACTCAAAAAGCTTGTGTTGAAGGTAGCATATATCCTCTTTCGGCACCGCACTTATTGGTTATCTGGAGGAGTTTAATTATATGCCCCACAAACTAAATTCGATTATTCCCTTGATTTTTGGTACAACTATTTTTTACAGCAACACACAAAAGATTGGTCAATGATTCTGCATAGTGTCCACGCAAAGGAATTATGTTTCGTCATTCATCGTGCCTTAAATTAATACAAGGCTTTAGCAACAATGGACAATCTGTATTTCCGGTAATATTTTAAATATTTTGCGAATAATAATCCATGATTCAATCAATGGATGTTTATATTTAATATATATTATTATCACTTATATTTTTATTGTATTATTTTTTATGTAAATATTCAATTATCATATATACTTATTAATAAATTATTAGTTTTCTCTCAAAATTGATATATTAATTGAAATCTTTTTTCTTTTTCATATTATTCTTTTTTATGTCGTTTCTTTATCGTAAAGTCAATTTAGCAATGACATAAATATATTTTATAATTTTTTAAATTATTTTATCATTTTGTCATTAACTATTATTGAGAGAAAAATTTACTTGTTTTATATGTTTATTTTATAAATTATAAGCTACACTAAGTCATTTATTTCTCACAATGATAAAGTAAAGTTTTATATGTCTTCTAAATGTCTTTTTTTATATAAAACATTCATTTTTAGTTTATATATATCATCACTATGGTATAAAAGTTGGTGTACTTTTTAAGATTAAACCAGTGTATGAAAATACACAATATATTGATTTTTTGTATTCTCATATTCAATAATGTAAGAAGTTAATGTTATATGGTACTATAAAATTAATAATGTACTATATTATTATAAGTTTTGTAAAAACTTATTAAGTTTAAGATAATGTAAGGTATCTTGAAATCATAAGATTTTACATGAATAAAAAATATTTGTTGAAAAAATTGTTATTTTTTTTATGATTTGTACTATACATATATATTAGTACAATTAAAACACATATTCTTGTAAAACAAAAATTTACAAATCAAAATAAATTTGTTATATAGCATGATCGGTAAAGTCATCTCATGTCTATTATAATGCAAAAAATAATTGAAAAATCATGTAGACATTTATTGAATAACTAGGAGATTCTAAAATCAAATATTTTCTCATGTGTCGTTTGTTCACAAGGGAAGTTAATAATGACACCATCCCTAAAAAAAATTAAGAATGAATTTATCTTATTTTTAGAACGAATACAGGATGATATTTGTGGATCAATATACTCCATAAGGACCAATTAGATATTTTATGGTTTTAATAAATGTATCGACAAGATGATCACATGTTTGTTTATTATCAACTCCAAATTAGGCATTTGTGAGATTATTAGCTCAACTAATTAGATTAAGAACTTACGTTCCTGACTATCTAATTAAGAAAATTTGTTTAAATAATGCTGATGAATTCATATCTCATGTTTTTAATGAGTATTATATGTCTATTGGAATTGATATTGAATATTAGGGGTGAGCATAAAACCGAGACCCAAATCGAACCCGAAAAACTCAATAAAAAATATTACTTTTGGGTGGGTTTGGGCGGGTTTTATGGGTAAATCGGGTTAAAATTTTGATTTTATACAGGTTATATTGGGCGGGTTCGGTTTTTAATTTTTAAACCCGTTAAAAATCGAACCCAACCGAAAATGAGATAAGTTTAAATTTTTATTACTTTTGTATAACTAAACAATAATGGTTCAAATTCAAAAGTCTTTATTTCAAGTATAATATAGCCATCAATTTGTAACTTATTTTTTTCTTTTTTTCTCATAACCTAGATGTTTCTTTTGTCTTCTCCTTCCTCATTCAACTTCTCAACACACTAGTCCATTTTTAGAATTTTCTTTTTGTTTGTTTCTTTGTCTTTCTTTTCCATCTTCCTATGTCCATTTTGAGTACAACTTGTGCGGCTGTGATTTCTTATGGGTTTTATATCTAACTTTAGATTTCTTTTGCATGTAACAACTATGGATTTTGTTATCTTTTGTTTTTGCTTCTTTAGTTTGTGAATGTTTCATCTACGAATCTACTTAAACCATTTATTGTCACCTTCATTTTATTTTTGTACACTATTTTAAATTTTTCTTTTTACCGTTTTAAGCTTCATCTTCATTAAGATAACTTGATCTACAAAAAACCTTAAACCCAATTGTATCCACCCGCTCAAATCCGAATCCATTTCAACCCGAACCGCCTCAAACCGAAAGCTCAGTTGGTTGGATATGGGTCACATTTTTTCAAAATCGGTTTACAATGAGTTGAATATTTTTCACCCGAATCCGACCGAACCCGCCCAATGCCCACCCTTATTGAATATCCAATAATACATGTTCATACACAAAATGAACTTGTAGGTCATTCATCAAACGTATAAAATTGATTGCAAGATTATTACTCATAAGATCAAAACTTTCAATACCAACTTGGGAGTATGCAATCTTGCATGCTATAATATTAATTTGCATCAAACCAACAAACTATCAGAAATTCACTCTTTTACAATTTATTTTTGGTGAGCAACCTCATATTTTTCATTTAATCTTTTTTTGGTGTGTTGTATATGTTCCAATTTCCCCACCTCAAAGAATTAAAATGGGTCCTTAAAGAAGGTTGAGAATATATGTTGAATATGAATCATCATTTGTAATAAAGTATCTTAGATCATTAACCGAATATTTATTTATTTCTCGATGGCTGATTACCACTTTAATGAGTTGATTTTTCCAACATTAATAAAAAAAAAATAAACTAGAAAAAATATTAGTTGGAATGAATTATCACTATCTCATATTGATCCTTGTACAAAAAAATGTAAATTAAAGTTCAAAAGAATAATTCATTTGCAAAATTAGCCAACCAATAATAATCACATGTATTCACAGATCTAAATAGGATGACTTAGTCATATGTACAAATTGTTAATGCTCCAATAAGAGTCAAAGTCTCGATTGGACAATCTAATATTGCAAACGAGTCACAAATATGTCTGAAGCATGGTAGAATAATTGGTTCCAAAAATAAAAATCCTTGATTAAAAAAATGGAACTAAAGAGAAAGATGGCCAAGTTGAGGATGTAAAAATTCAAAAATTCTTCTAACATAACTAATATTCTAGAAGAAACTTAGGTACCTAAAATCATTGAAAAGAAGAGATCTTAATAAATTATATTATGAATGAAACACGATGGAACCAAAACAACGTAAATTTTGATGATGTGTTTGCATATAATATAATGCTAAATGTAATAAATGATATCGAGGATCAAGAACTAAATCCCGTTAAGGATTGTTGACAAAAAAAATGATTAACCAAAATGAAAACATGCAATTGAGAAAAAATTAGACTTGTTTGTTAAGCGAAAAGTTTTTGGACCAATAGTACACACACACCTAAAGATGTGAAACCAATTGGATACAAATAATTTTTTGTGCAAAAAAGAAATAAAAATGGTGAAACTATGAGATACAAAGCAAGACTAATTGTTCATGGATATTCACAAAGACCTGATATTCATTTTGAAGAGACATATTCACCTGTAATGAATGCAAGTACTTTTGATACTTAATTAGTTTGTTTATACGATTCGTGGATAAGTCTTCTTTAGAGGCTAGGCATCGTTCACTTGTGACTCTCACATGTAAGTTAAAGTATTTAAGTGTATTCTTGTGACAAGTTTCTTCGTATCTATTCAACAAAGTTTAAAGTCAATTTTGTGAATTTAAACTTAATTTGTTCAAGATTTAACAAATATAAATAAGATTGGATTAAATTAACTTATTAACATAATACAACTGCCATTAAAATATAATTTACAATATATTACAAGATAAATAATATCAATACATATATAATATCATGTTAGATTAAATATTATTTATTAAGTTAAGAAGTTATATTGTTAAACACATAATTGTTTAAAAAATTATCAAATACACATGACATTGAACAAAATTAGGACGACTTGAAAGATAATCCTATCATTAAAATATATTAATTTGTTAAACATG